CACATCTCTTTAACGCGTTGGTCAAATAACCGTTCATGTCGTGATGTTAGCCAGTTTTAATATGGAAAATCAAATTTAAGTTCACGAACTCAACAACGAGCAACATGGATATTGAATATACCCAAAGAGCTGAAAAATGAAATCTCTGAGCTTTGTGTCCATAAACACAATGGCGCATACATATTAATTTAACGACTCTCATAAACTATTTCTCAAACTCTCCCACTTCTTTTGCACTGCTTACATAACAGAGACAGTGAGTCAATAAAGAGCCACTTACATTAAAGCTGAGCAAGATCAAAGAATGTAACAGGATGAGGAGGAAGTTATGTCGGCCAAGACGATCGTTAACCGTGGTGATGATTTAACAAAATCAAGACAAAATGTAGCATTTCATTAGCTTAATGTAAAATAGATCAAACACAACATTACATTCTTAGCATGGAATAATCACAACCCAATATTTGGGGTAGTCTAGAAATAAAACTTAAAAGATGTCTCATCATTATCACATTGTGGTGGATAGCATTTCATTGTTATTTCCTTTCTCCATATTACTTTAAAGTCGTGTTTTTTTTATTATTCATATTCCTGTATCTCACTCTGATTCACTGAGAGCAGAGAGACTAACAGTGTAAAGGAGAAGGAGGGACTGACAGACGGAGTTTGATGTTAGGGCTTTTATAATATGAAACAGACAGACTGTGAGAGACAGGCTCCCTCCCTGGTGTCTGGTTGGTAGTTTCTATGTGAGATCTCGAGCTTTGAATCAACTCGCTCCTTCATGGATCTAAAGATAGTCAAAACTTCTGGAGAGGTCCTGGCAAATAATTTCAAAAAATAAAATATTGAAAGAACAGCTGTTCCCCCTTCCCTCTTAGCCCTCAGTACTCTCTGTTCTCCTTTTGAAGATGCTCTGATCTTACTGTTTTACAATACAGGCTGGTTGGGGTTTCTGGTTATATTTTTTTGTCTATTAATGGTAATAAAAAAAACATATAGTATTAAACATCAGCACCATATATTTTTATTATTATTATTACTATTATTATAATAAAAAATGCAGTGTTTATGATTTGTTACGTATTCAGCTAAGTGATCACATCTTCCCACCTTAGTGTGAAATCCTCTGCAAAGATGAGTCTACAATTATTGTTTTCAATTGTACTATTGAACACTTTCTGAAAATTAAACATTGTAATTCTGCAGGTTGGCATTTTAAAGGCATTTCTAAACATCAAGACAGTTTCATTACTGTATGAAAAGATAAAATGTTTCCATGCACGATGATCTCCTACAAAGATTCAGAGTGCATACAGTAAAAGACATAGTCAAAGCGATGCATGGATGTGACATTGATTTTCAGTTATTTCTTATCAAAATACACATCTTAATTGAGCTGCTTTCATAAAATCATAGCTGCACCAAAGACAAGGTAGAGCAAAGGTCCTAAAATGCATTCAGCTGGCATGTACGCCTCCACAGGTAAAATAAGTTTTGACGCTTCATCCTGCCTCTGCACGTAAAGTAGGGTTTAAATTCTAACTTTGCAAGAGCTGCCTTCTTTTTTTTTTCTTTTTTTTTTTTTTTTTAGCACTTTTTTACCCTTTCAGCTCGTCTTAAAGTGACAGAAAACAGCCTTGAGCACTTGCTGGGAACAGCTCATATACTTAATTTCTGTGACAGAATCGGATTTCTTTTCTTTTCTGTTTTTTTTTTCGCTCACACTTGCATGTACTAAGGAGTGATAAAAAAATACATTCATTTGAAATCTATTCTGTTCAGTTCTCCTGCGTGCTGCGGCTAAAGGGATAGATCCTGACAAAGTCCAGATCCCAACAGAGCTTGTTAGGTTATGAGATACACTCCTGCGCAGCCGCTTCCCCCTTCCTGCATCTCTCCCAGAGGAAACTGTGTGACTGTCGACATGGAGCCAGATGGAAGTAAAGCTATGAAACAACACTAGAGGCAGTAAAACTGTGGAGGTCCATTGTTAATTCTGGTGGGAGCTATTGCTCACCGCTGTCTTTTAAGTGAACCATTAACACTGCTGCACAAATAATAGCGGCAAAGGAAGTGATGAAAAAAATGGAGGTAATCCTGAGCGGACATCAAAACTGAAAGAAATAAAATCAAAAAATAAACGAGTGTCCAAGAGGCCTTGTGAAAGTATCCATACTCCGCTTTTTGCTTCATGAAATACAATGCACTTTAGTTTGTTGAAGTTTAATAGTCTAAAACTGGGCGCAGGTGGGCAGTGGAAGAACAGTTTTCAAAATTCTTAGCAAATACATGTAAAGTGTTGCATGGGTTCAGGTTCTTTTTAACCTTAAATTTGTATATAAACTTTAATTTCAATGGAACATTTAACATTGGAACAGGAAGACATTCTTTCTTTATTCATTTTTCTATCAAAATGAATAAAGAAACCAAAAACAGCGAATAAAATGCATCCCAAAGTTTCTGAAAATAAAATGTCCCTTAAAAATGAGTCAGTCTGAAGCATTTTGTCATCCAGACTTTGAAATAGCTCGAGAACAATCATGCAAATGGAAATGATCAAGCTTGTTTTAATTTGTAATGCAATTAATTGAGCTATTGCTTATTACGACAGGCCTAGACACAGACAACCTACCAATACATGGCAACTAACAACTAAATTCACAGGCTGGGCAAAAAAAGAGAGTATTGATCAGAAGCAAACAAAAGGCCCAGGGCAAGTCTGAAAAAAACAGAACATTTCAGGTGAGGGAATCTGTAGACAATAAAGCTATCGGTTGTGCACGCCATAAAAGTGCTTTTCACGCAAGGGTGGCAAGAATAAAGCCTTATAGTTGAGAGGTAGCCACAATAAGCCGACTTCACAATTTGCCACGAGCCATGTAGGAAGCACAGTAAACGTGTGGAAGAAAGTGCTTTCCTCAGACAAAACTGAGGCTGAACATTTTTAGTAAAGCTACAAATCCAAACAAGAAGGATCTGTTGGCTGGCATAAAAACTGGACAGTCTATCTCCATGGTGAAACATGGTGGTGGCTGCATCATACTGTGAGAACAGAAGGATCAGATTTGAGTTTGACGTTTCAGCAGGAAAACAACCTTAATCTCCTAAAACACAAACTCGTATTTCCCCTTTGATTTGACATTTGGGCTGACTGGGATTTTTTATTGCAAAAACAACTAATTATCTTGTTACATTATGTAGTTTCTGAGAGAAATTGTGCTCTTCAAAGCATCATCATGGGCTGCCTGCAAATACAAGCAATTCTCAGATTTCTATTTGAATAAACATTGAAGGTGCAGAATCTTTCCTCCTCTTCACAGTTGTGTGCTACTTTCTGTCACATAAAATCACAAGAAAATACATTAGTTGTGATATGTGAAAATGTGGGAAAGTTCAAGTCGCATGAATACCTTTGAAACCTTTGACTGCATTTAGTATTCTTTTCATGTAAGCATACCAAAGGACCAAACAACAAACTATTGTCAAACTGGATTTTCTCAAAAAGGAACTTCACCGTGCCTTATCTAACGTATCACATGGAAAGACACAATTACAGCTCCAGTGCATTGTTGGAAAATGTTCATGCTTTTTTTTAGTTAGATGTATAAACATGAGAGGATTCTTGCACCCATCGCTCTCCCTCTTTGGGATGATGCAACAAAAAACAGTCCAAGGACTCCAAGAGGAACCATTTTCCTTATGATTTTAATGGATTCACTTGAAGTTAAAAACAACAACAACAACAACAGCAGCAGCAGCAGCAACAGTGTTTCAGCAAGTTGCATCACTTACAGGAATCATATGGCGTTCAAAGTCTAAACTAAACTAAACAAGTTGGCTGCAACGTCACTTTAGTTTAGATGAATTGTGACATGAGGTGTGTTGGGAAAACTATTTTGTGAGCAGAATCGTCGTGAGGCCACATTGGAAAAGGTTAACAACTGAAAATGCCATCATCATACAATTACAAAGGCGTGACTTTGCATGAATGCCAGTTCGTTACAATGTTATTCCCAACTTTTGTTCTGGATGCCAAAATCTGTTCTCAGATTGGTTTTAGAGGAAAATAACACAAAAAAAGGTGAAAAAAAATTTCCACACAATTTCTTCCTAACCTCAAACAAAGCCCTGGGCTCATTCTTGGTCTTCTCCATACATTATTCATCAGTTTGGGTGCAAGGTAGAAACAGAAGAAAGCAGTAAAAATCAACACTCAAAGAGTCCTAATCTAAAATCCAAATAAAAAATCTGCTGAAAAATTACAAAGCCCTTCTGGCTTCTTCTTCTTCTTCATTTTTTTTTATTTCAACCTGGAATTTGCATTCATTCAGTTAGCGGATGCTTTTATCTAAAGTGACTTGCAAGGAACTACATTCAAGCCTCAGCACACCAAGTGCTGCTGGCATACACATTATGCACTATTTGAAAAGAGACAGTGCAAGTGGAACAGGTACAGAAGTGCAAATGGAGAACAGGTTAGGTGGGCTTGAAAGTGCAGGCGAAGATTGAGATGGCCATAGAGGACAATATTTATCAAAGTAATTCAGTGGTTGGGCATGAAAGTGGATTATGCTGCATATGTCTGAGTGGGGTGCAGACACCACTGTTGGTCTATGGGCATGGGTTGTTTACGTCAGAGTGGGTCTGCTGGGTGATTCATGTCCCTTATTAGTAGATTTAACATCAGACATGTAGGCATATTGTGAACCACTTACAGTGGTTTCACCGTGAATGCTGAGAGAACTGCTGGAAGAGGACGTGAGCGGCAGAGACCAACCTGCAGCACACAGTGGCGCTTCTAAATGCTCAGCAAATTAATTTAACCCTGCAAGCTCTTGGCTACTTTTCTCTCTTACATTCCCCACAAATGAAACGCCAAATAAAGGACAGTGTCGGGCTTTTTTCATTTTTGGACTGTTGAGACTATGCATCAACCAGCCAATTCCTACATGGCTTCCTTTGACACACACATCATGTGTTCATTAAGGCTGAAATACCTGTCACGATGTCGGTGTGCTCTTGGGACATGTGCTGGCTCTGGTGAACCCATTCACCGTTGCACTTGAAGAAGATTTGGAGCGCGGGCCGGGCCTGACACCGGAGCTTGATGGGGTTGCTCTTGATGATGTAGGCGTCAACGGGCTCCTCCAAGAACCGCGGCAGGGTCCCAGACTGGCCATGTTGCAAGGCTTCACCTCTGGGACCTGAAGGGAGGAAAAAAAATGGAAAGAAGAGAAGAGTGAAATGGATTCCATAAACAAAACGCATTTGATGTCGTACGTGTTTATTTCTGGCAGTAAAACAATTGGTTTCTTTCTTGATTGGTTTGAAAGTCAGGACTCTGTGTGTCCCACAAAACTCACACGTCCATATCCCTAAACGAAGCACACAGTTTCTGACATGTCATCAATACAAATGACTCCTAAAGTTTTGACAAAACAAAGACCAATGCCTTGGTTTATCCACTGACGCACAGACGCTTCGAAACTGAAAATGGTCATTTGTAGATTTTTCTAAACCTCTCTGCTGCAGCAGTAAGTGCTCCTTTCACTAAAAGTAAGGACTCAAGTCTTTCCCCATTGACAAATGGTGCCAAGACAAAATCTCCACCAAAATTCACACCATTAGTAACTTCCAAACAAAGACTCGTTCATCATATTCTCAGACAGAGGGCGGATTCACTCCAGCCCCGTTCAATCCACTCTAATCACATTCTGGGTCATTTGCCTAGAAAGTCTGGCACATTTGGGGAGGTGTGAATGTGTCATCGCACGCTGATGCAGACCAAAATAAGCAAACGCCGGTCTGCCTAAGAATCTCGGTCCCGGTTTGGTTGAAGTGAACTCTAGTGTGGTTCAAATACATATGTGAAAGCCAAGCAGACTAGAGACCTCTAGAGGGAAGCAGATTGTAGCGCAATGCATTCTGGTTGAATATAACCAAAACAAGCTTGTGAGTTTATCGTTAGCTGGAAAAATGGTCTTTCACCAACAACAAAAGAGAAAACCTACAACCACTAAAATCTGACTCTGCTCTATTTTTGTTTACATTTCATAAAGAAAAAAGTTGCACTCATTGCTTCGTCAGAGATTTTTCTGTCGTTTATTTCAGCGGTTCTTGGTGCAGCTCCACCACATGTGAGGGAGGAACAGGTCTTTCAAGGCTTTGGATCATTTGACACAAAGCAGCGTGAAAGAGAACAGCAGCAACACCAGCTGAAAACGTAACAAATGTTGCAATTTTTGTCCCCAATCGAACCGTCTCTACTGGACTATCAGGTGTGAAAACACCCAGAGAGGCATGATTGATAGAGTCCACTGGTGCCAGGCTTCACTTAATTGCATCTGAGGTTTGACTTTGCACTTGGTGGTGTAAGGTATGATGCACCTCCTTGGCAATTTTTCTTTTTTTTTCTTTTTTATCAAACTCTTTACCTGTTGCTCTCGCTGTAATCTGAAAAGACTGAAGCTATTGACTTTGCACACAGTTGGTGATTCAGCATTGGCTTTTCCCATTACGCAATGACGGCGCAGGGAAGTCAAGGGAATTTGTAGTTGCAAGAACATTTCACAAAGGAGTTCATTCCACAGGTCCATGCCTTAAGTTACAGATCCCCTTAGCTTAGTGTGACTTTTCTGTTCATTAGAGTTTATAGAAGCATTTTACATCACGCAGCGCCTCTGGCCATGAATGTGATTGCAACAAATAAATTCAATGATTTGGATGGGCGTCTCAATACATATGGTGTGTGACTTGCATATGAAGCATAAACGTATTACACTTGAAATGTAACATCCTCTCGAATACTGCATCAAAGTAGTCCTTTGAAACCGCAGCAGTGGGCATATCACTAAGAGGACGACTGTGATTTTTTTTATATCGTGCAGCTCTATGATTGCAGTGACGAACATGTTCCCATTTAACACGAAGGTTGATCTGCATCACTAAAAACAGTTGCTTCAGTGGAGGAACTCGCAGACGAGGTGCTGGCAGCACATTAGCAGTCATTACTCCCTCCTTCCTCTGCCGGTCTGAGGGCTGTTTCAGTCGGCGCACGTTTCTGCTGCTTCTGAGTCCCACAACTGTAATTATACTCTGACTAATCCGCTAGTTTGGTGGAACATCTTTCATGCAAGTGTGAAGAGTTTATTGAGGCAAACCATCCCATACACTCTCACCTCCCCACTGCACACTCCATGTTTCCCCACAGTGGTGGTTGTACTGCTGAAAAGCCCATCAGGATTAGGGAACCCAGTCTCTCATTTTCTTCTCTCTCTCCCCCCCCCACCCCTCTCCAGCTAATCCCATCCTCCTACCTTTCCTCACTGGATGTCTCCTGATGGAGGGAAATGGATAAAAGACTCTCTGTGATTCCCCGGCTGTGAAAATCACAGAACTTGCTCGCTGTTCGACTCCCCCCTCTGTGGGACGCGTTCGCATTCTCTGCCGCGTTCGTGGAACGGGAGCTGAACAAAGAGACATGCTTTTAATTTCAAAATGTCTAGCCCCAGGCAAGCTTTTCTTGTATGGAGTGCTCCTCTTTGTTTTGCACGGGCAGAACTGACAAGGTGTGTTTGTGTTTGGATGGATGCAAAACACAGACATGACTTTGCATTCAGGCAACGATAGATGAGAACGGGAACACCTAAATACAACGGCTGTCAATCCCAGTTAAAGCCATTCGCAATCATGACATCAGATAAATGGATCGGGTCCCATGTTATTTTGGCCTACCAACAGCAAAGCTCAACACCGGTGAGACAACTAATACCGATATCAACGTCAGAGATGATTTCAGATGTTGCTGCTGTTAGCAGTCTGTTCACTGCTCTGGTTTTTCTATTCCATTTAGCCGCTGGGATGTTTCGCGGCAGACAGATTAAGAGAGACACATGAAAGGAAACCGGTGCCATTTAACCCCAGGCTGGTGTCGACACGTGAGGCTTACAAACACTTAACTGTCCCTGGAAAGTGCATAACATTGTCTCCGGTCATGAAATTGATGAATATAAATCACAAACAGCAGAGCGGAGTAGCGGCGGCGATATTTCTGTTGCAGCGTACTATTTTAAACCACACTGGGATAAGGCTGTGCAGAGCAGGTTGGTGAAGAAGTGTGATGCCGCTTGACATGCTCACCACATCCTCTCATTTACATCCTGGGGTTGGTGCAGGGCGGTTATTGGTTCATCTTACCACAATATGTTTCCCCGCCGCCATTCAGGAGACCGCTGAGGCCTGTGCTTCACAGTTTTCAGAATGATCTACAACCAATGCTTCCGTCTGGCAATAACACATAAGGGGCACAGATACATTTAGCCAACTCAGAGAGAAAACAACATATCACTGCCAAAGGGCTGAATGATGGCTCTATTTTCTTTCTCTTTCTCTGCCTCTGTGTCTGCCTTGCACATAAAGGCTTCTGCAGGAAATACACGCTAGTCATGAAGCAACTTGTCAAGGAAGCAGGAGTGTTTTTTGTTAGACGGAGCAAACACTCGACCTCATTACACGCTAAATTAAAAAGTCGGGGAAACTCGACGACAAAAACATATTTCATTAAAGGGGGATACAGGCACAGAGTGCCATTTTATACCACAACCAAATTACTATATTTCCTTTGGTTGTAACGTAAGAGCTATATGTCGAAACAACATCAAAGAAATGTGACTTCAAATTGTAGCTGTGTCTGATGCCTTGAAATTGGCCTGTCTCTTTAAGAAGCTCCTATTGTTTCAGACACTCTGCGTTCTGCACAACTCAACAATGCCTCTCCATGCGGTCTACAGGTATTGTTAGGAAGATTGTAGATTTTATGATAAGGTCAGCAGATCTGCAATTTTACTAGGTGTTTGGTAATTACTGCTGCTGCTAGTCTAGAGGAGCTATTTTAGTTAAATAGGTGGCGCTTTGCATGAGCAAGCGTTAATGACGTTCTAACATGATATAAAGTTAAAAAAAATTATAAGTTGAAAATAGGTTTTAGGTCACCAACTTATATTCAAAGCTTTGAGCATCTATTGAATTTTGAACACTGAAATATAAAGATATAGTCGTCAACTTAAGTTGACTGACTTGGCAAAGAGGATGTTCATGATAATAATAGATAAAAGAAAGAATAAATTAAGGAATGTTGATGGTAATAATCAGCGTAGAGAACTGGAGGAGCTCTGAGGCAAACAGAGCTCAGGTGAGGTCAATTGTCAATAGGATTAATATTCGTGAGACACTCAACAAATCTGTCATTTATGGGAGAATGGCGTAAAAATGTCGCTGCTGAAAGGAAACCATGAGAAACCCAAATCAAACTGGCAGGTTTTGACGGGTTGTTACTGCTATGTTAAAAAATTGAGCAATTCAACAAATACAAGGCAGAAATGTTGGTTTCTCGATGTGTTAACCGGGAAGACCTGCAGCTGTGACTACGCAGGGGTTTGCTACTACCACAAAAAAGAAATTCAGAGGAAAACTATATTATTTTTGTTGAAATATGACAGAATTTTGAATGTGTAAGCTAGTTTTTCAGTGCACTGTGGTAGCAGTTCCAAGAAAAATACCTTTCTTTGTATTAGAAATCAACTCTTCAGCCTTATGTGCTGTTTCTAATATCTGATTAAGTTTTATATGTCATCACATATATTGCGTGGATCTTGTGCTGCAGACAGAACCGTTTACGACTCGCAGTATTTTTGTCTTGAAAATCTGCAGAATGTGATTGGAATCATTTCCTGTAATAATTTTCAGCATTTTGCTTCATTACCTTTATAAATCTTTCACCGTTAAACGTCTCTTCACACATTCACGCCGTATCTACGAGGTGTGCAGTTACCGACCCGTTCTGAATGACGGAACCACCAAGATTGCCCCTCGTCTTCTTTAGCCTGAAGGACGAATTGTCAATGAATTATAAAGTAAGTGTTAAATTTTGAATTTTCTCTCTGTCTTTCTCCTGCAGTACATAATGGCCGGAGTAGGTCTGAAATGCAGAGAGGATACTTGATCGATCAACCGAGAACAGGAACAAAAACAACAAACATTTCTCGACATGTACAACTCATGTCAGGTTTGTGCTTCCTTAGACAGAAAGTGAACTGTGCTGCAACAAGGTCAGCCTGTTCCAGAAAGTGTGCAATCAGACAGTATGGCATTAATCCCACACATTATGAAGTGCTATTTGGCAATACAATAGTGACAGATGAATAAT